CTAGTCCGAGGAAGCTTTGTAACGCTTGAACGTTATCTGGGGCCGGCATGTTTCTGATCGCGTTGGCTCGTATTTGATTGGACTTCTTTTTTATGTAGACCCTAGGTGCTGCCCACTCGCTGCAATCTGTTTTTGACAGAATACCTGCTTGTTCGAGTCTATCTAACTCTTTGTTAATTTGTTCTAGAGCAGCGAAAGGGACATTCCGTTTCTTTTTGAATACCGGTTGTGCACCGTCCTTCACCTTGAACTTAGCTTTCATTTTAGTACATTTCCCAAGGCCACCAGAAAAAACCTGGGGAAATTTTTGTTTGAGTTCCTTTTTTAGATTTACCAAATTGGACGTTGTACTTTGTATCTTGCGACAGAATGTAGTTATTGGGCAATCCCAAAGATTGAATGTTTCTATCCAATCAGTTCCAAATAAGTTGTCTGAACTTTTTAATACGTAGGCTTTGAGCTTTTTGGTAACTCCATTTACTGTTACTGTAAGTATTACCTCACCTAAAATCTTTTCGCCAGTTACGGATTTTGTCGTTTTATCCGTTTTTAATAAGGTCGGCTTGTTTAATTTTCGCCAAGTACGCCAATTAATGGTTGAAAGATCTGAACCCGAGTCAAGCTGGAATTTAATGGAATTATTGAAAATATCCACAGTTACATATTTTCTTAAATTCCTATCGACAATATTGTCAAATTGAGCTTGCCTAATTTTATTTTTGGGTTTTCTCGTTCTGTTGGCGTACCAGCACGAAGTTAAAGTATGCCCACTTTTATTGCAATTTTTGCAATATTTTTTGTTCTTAACTAGACAGAATTTCATACAATGCCATTTACCACAATGGTAACATGGTCCGGGCGGTTTCTTTAACTTTTTGGGGTTTTGGTTACTGCGTTATTTAGGACATGAGATTTGCCTTTTGTCTTTTTGAGGGGAATAGGAGGTAGACTTGCTTCTGATTTTATTAATCTGAGTCACACCTGATTCCTGGATAGTGTCACACTTTACAGATATTACTCTTTGACAGTCCTCTGCCAGTTTTTGGAGAGTCAATTCTTGTTCGTTCTCAAACTTGGTCAGTACCCGTGGTCTGACTTCGGCGTCTTCTGCTGATACTAGACCTTGTGCGAAAATTAAGCACTTGAAATCATCAGCAGTCAATTCGGCTAGTTTAAAATCATTACAGAGCTTGTTTACCGATGCTGCAAACGTTAGAATATCTTGCTGGTTGTCTTTTGACTGTGTTCAGACATTTCCAACGTTTGTGGAACAAGGTTGTGTTAGGCCCGAATAGTTCCGATAGGAGCTTAATAGTCTCTGAAAAATCCAAGTCAGTCGTTTTCTTGGGTAGTATGAAGTCTACGAACGTACTATGTTCTGTAGTTCCCAGTTTTCTCAATAGAAGACGTACCTTCTTTTTACTGGACCATTGTTCACAGTCTACGTTGAAAATATCTTCGTAGCGCCTGTAAAAAGCCTGGAACGTTTTGTCTTCCTCTGGTACGTATTCAAAGCTTTCTATTGAATTGTAGATTGTACTCTAGGAGAATATTGTATCTTTTTCAGAGTTTGAGCCTTTTAATGCATTCACGAGTAACTCTTTAAGTTGTTTCTGTTGTAGTTCAGCATTCTGAAGCGTAATTTGTTGGAATTCTATTTGTTGTTTATGTAATTCCAAAAATAGTTGTTGTTGTCTTTCTTCTGATTTTTCTTGCTGATCCAAATTTAGTTTTAACATTTGGGCAACTACTTTTTGCAAATCTTCCATATTTAAAAATGACAGCGCTTTTTTTGTTTCTTTGAAACACGTGGAGGTACACAAAAAAAATCTTGATAGATTTTTGTTCCTGTTTTTTTTTCTTTTACAGAAAAAAATATGGACAGACAATAGTTAAACTAAACGAATTATGTGTTTAGCTTTTTTCCCGTGGTTCCGTTAATTTTGACGTAATTGAATACATTTTCAACACACTTATGTATTTTTTTATAGAGTTATAAAAAGAGAAAACTCACCTCAGTGAATTTGAGGGAGAATAATTTTATGCCCGAGTTCAACTCAGTTAGATAAAAAATTTTTCGATAGTTTTTTTCGAAAACTTGAGTATAATGGTAGTACTTGCTCTTGTATTGTCAGTTTGTTTTACGGACAACTGTTTTTTTTGTGTGTGGACGTTGTAAGAAATCGTTCTTGTTATTTGGACAGACTTTAATATTCCGTAGATGTCGAATCGCTAGTTCGTCATTCCTGTTTGGTATTGGAATATATTTTTTTTATATGTAGACGCTGGGCGTTGCGTTTAAATCGCTGGTGTAGAAATACCAGCTTAATTTCTCGTTCAACGCTGCTGTGGGAACGCGTGGAGTTTTTGTATTTTTCGAGTACTATCGCTATTGATATGGTGAGAACGAAATTCACGAATCTTTTCTGTCGCCACTGATGTAGGACTGGCAATGTATTGCGGTTTTTCGACGTGAATGTGTTTCTAGAATTCTTCGTCGACACAGATGTGGGACTGGTAAGGTATTTAGGTTTCGCCGTGAGTGCGTTTCTAGAATCCTCGTCGCTACTGATGTGGGGCCAAAGTTGGGACCACAGAAGGAAAACACGGATTAGATGTAAGAAAGATATATTAACAACGGGTTACAGAGATAGTGTAAGCAGAGCTTACTGTAAGTTATTGTCCAACACTGGTAGTCGTACTAGACTCTCACTGTCTCTCTGTGTCACTCTCTGTCACTCTCTGCTATGTCGCCTACTTAATATAGGTCTGGAAGAGTCTATTGTGTATGTAGTTTCCGGTCTCACAATAGTTATGATAGCTTTATATTGTTCTACGGTGATTTTATGTGTAAAACATAATTTAAGAAAATGACGTGAGCGCTTTTTGTATATAATTTTGAAGTACTCAGTAATTTTACAAATGTTTGAAAATATTCCCCGTAATCTAATTGTAAGAATATTGAATTTAAATTTATTATAGTCATCGCTTTTGTTTTCTGATAATGTCGTGTACGGTCGCCTGTACTCTCAAAATGTGCACCTTTATACATATATAACATTTTTTTAAAATATTTAAAAAATCTTGGTGCGTGATGATTTGTATTAAACTTTTCAATTTTTTATTAGTAAATATAATTTTAACTTAATAACAATATCACCTAACGCAATTAAAGTAACGCAGGAATTTTAAAAGATTTATATATAAATTATATATATAAATTATATATATATATATATATATATATATATATATATATATATATATATATATATATAATCATTATTAAAATTAAAAAAAATATAAACAATTCTTGTAAAAATTCATTATTCATCGAAATAATTTTTTTCTGAAGACAATAATGTCTTTAATGAATCTTATTTATAAAAGCAATTAAAAGTTTTTCTAATTAAATAATGTCATAGTTTATTGCATTTACTATTTTATGATTGGGAGCAGATTTTCCGAAAATTATTAGCAGTTTGAAAACAAAAATTGATGTTTAACATTCTCTAAGGAGTCCTGATTTTAAATAATAAAACAAACTTTGCAATTAAAATTGAATTTCTCGAAATTTCATGAAATTAAGTAGGGGTAATGTATGCGAAAAATATATATTTTTCCCAAGATTTTCTAAGAAAAAATTTCAAAAATAATTTCATTCATTTGTGAATAAGTACTGAAATTTTTATTAAAATCCGACAATTATTTGATTTTTGCAAGAACATCAAAATCAGAAACAAACAAAATATTTAACTAAAATTTCAAACGGTCTAGAAAGGATTTAAAAAATTAATAAAACAATAAAAAATACTTGGTCTTTCCTATTTAGCATAATAGCGTGAACATTTTGACATTTGATGTTTATTGCAATCAACAGCAAGATTATAATTCTACATAAGCAACGTAAAACTGATTTGAACTTTCATTTCTTATGCTAAAGATTCAACAGGTAAATCAGTTAAATCACGTCATATATATTCGTCTTTGTTGCTTACTAACATAGCTTATCAAAGATAAGATTAATGAAAATTAGAGAGTTGCGATAAACAAACCAGAAGAATGAAGATGAAATTTAGTTCAAATGTAAGAGATAACAAATATTTATCACCACAAAAGTAAATTCGATAAGTAACTGTCATATGGCTGCTTGTCATTTTTAAAATGACTACTAAAATGACGTCCATTGAAAAGTGGAATGCATTGATAATTAGGCTGAAAGTGGAAAGTATTGATGGCCAATCTGAAGGTGAAAGGCATTGATGGACAGTCTCAAGATGGAATGGATTGATGGACAGTCTCAAGAGGGAATAGAGTGATGGACAGTCTCAAGATGGAAGGGATTGATGGCCAGGCTGTAGGGGGAATGAACTGATGGACAGTCTCAAGATGGAATGGATTGATGGACAGTCTCAAGATGGAATGAACTGATGGCCAGGCTGTAGGTGAAAGGCATTGATGGACAGTCACAAGATTGAATGAATTGATGGACAGTCTCAAGATGGAATGGAGTGATGGACAGGCTGTAGATGAAAGACATTGATGGACAGTCACAAGATGGAATGAATTGATGGACAGTCTCAAGATGGAATGGAGTGATGGACAATCTCAAGATGGAATGGAGTGTTGGACAGTCTCAAGATGGAATGTATTGATGGCCAGGCTGTTGGGGGAATTAATTGATGGACAGTCTCAAGATGGAATGGATTGATGGCCAGGCTGTAGGGGAAAGGCATTGATGGACAGTCTAAAGATGGTATGAATTGATGGCCAGGCTAGAGGTGAAAGGCATTGATGGACAGTCTCAAGATGGAATGGATTGATGGATAGTCTCACGATGTAATGGAGTAATGGACAGTCTCAAGATGTAATGTATTGATGGACAGTCTCAAGAAGGAATGGAGTGATGGCCAGGCTGTAGGTGGAATGAATTGATGGTCAGTCTCAAGATGGAATGGATTGATGGACAGTCTCAAGATGGAATGGATTGTTGGACAGTCTCAAGATGGAATGAACTGATAGCCAGGCTGTAGGTGAAAGGCATTGATGGACAGTCTCAAGCTGGAATGAATTGGTGGCCAGGCTGTAGGTGAAAGGCACTGACGGACAGTCTCAAGATGGAATGGAGTGATGGACAGTCTCAAGATGGAATGAACTGATGGCCAGGCTGTAGGTGAAAGACATTGATGGACAGTCTCTAGATGGAATGGTTTGATTGCCAGGCTGTAGGTGAAAAGCATTAATGGACAGTCTCAAGATGGAATGTATTGATGGTCAGGTGGAATGGATTGATGGACAGTCTCAAGATGGAATGAATTGATGGCCAGGCTGTAGGTGAAAGGAATTGATGGACAGTCTCAAGATGGAATGGATTGATGGTCAGGCTGTAGGTGGAATGAATTGATGGACATTCTCAAGATGGAATGGAGTGATGGTCAGGCTGTAGGTGGAATGAATTGATGGTCAGTCTCAAGATGGAATGGATTGATGGACAGTCTCAAGATGGAATGAATTGATGGACAGTCTCAAGATGGAATGGATTGATGGACAGTCTCAAGATGGAATGAACTGATAGCCATGCTGTAGGTGAAAGGCATTGATGGACAGTCTCAAGCTGGAATGAATTGGTGGCCAGGCTGTAGGTGAAAGGCACTGACGGACAGTCTCAAGATGGAATGGAGTGATGGACAGTCTCAAGATGGAATTAACTGGTGGCCAGGCTGTAGGTGAAAGGCATTGATGGACAGTCTCAAGATGGAATGATTTGATTGCCAGGCTGTAGGTGAAAGGCATTGATGGACAGTCTCAAGATGGAATGTATTGATGGTCAGGCTGTAGGTGGAATGGATTGATGGACAGTCTCAAGATGGAATGGATTGATGGACAGTCTCAAGATGGAATGAATTGATGGACAGTCTCAAGATGGAATGGATTGATGGACAGTCTCAAGATGGAATGAACTGATAGCCATGCTGTAGGTGAAAGGCATTGATGGACAGTCTCAAGATGGAATGAACTGATGGCCAGGCTGTAGGTGAAAGGCATTGATGGACAGTCACAAGATTGAATGAATTGATGGACAGTCTCAAGATGGAATGGAGTGATGGACAGTCTCAAGATGGAATGAACTGATGGCCAGGCTGTAGGTGAAAGACATTGATGGACAGTCTCTAGATGGAATGGTTTGATTGCCAGGCTGTAGGTGAAAAGCATTAATGGACAGTCTCAAGATGGAATGTATTGATGGTCAGGTGGAATGGATTGATGGACAGTCTCAAGATGGAATGAATTGATGGCCAGGCTGTAGGTGAAAGGAATTGATGGACAGTCTCAAGATGGAATGGATTGATGGTCAGGCTGTAGGTGGAATGAATTGATGGACATTCTCAAGATGGAATGGATTGATGGACAGTCTCAAGATGGAATGAATTGATGGACAGTCTCAAGATGGAATGGATTGATGGACAGTCTCAAGATGGAATGAACTGATAGCCATGCTGTAGGTGAAAGGCATTGATGGACAGTCTCAAGCTGGAATGAATTGGTGGCCAGGCTGTAGGTGAAAGGCACTGACGGACAGTCTCAAGATGGAATGGAGTGATGGACAGTCTCAAGATGGAATTAACTGGTGGCCAGGCTGTAGGTGAAAGGCATTGATGGACAGTCTCAAGATGGAATGGTTTGATTGCCAGGCTGTAGGTGAAAGGCATTGATGGACAGTCTCAAGATGGAATGTATTGATGGTCAGGCTGTAGGTGGAATGGATTGATGGACAGTCTCAAGATGGAATGAATTGATGGCCAGGCTCTAGGTGAAAGGCATTGATGGACAGTCTCAAGATGGAATGAATTTATGGACAGTCTCAAGATGGAATGGAGTGATGGACAGTCTTAAGATGGAATGTATTGATGGCCAAGCTGTAGGTGAAAGGCATTGATGGACAGTCTCAAGATGGAATGAACTGATGGCCAGGCTGTAGGTGAAAGGCATTGATGGACAGTCACAAGATTGAATGAATTGATGGACAGTCTCAAGATGGAATGGAGTGATGGACAGTCTCAAGATGGAATGAACTGATGGCCAGGCTGTAGGTGAAAGACATTGATGGACAGTCTCTAGATGGAATGGTTTGATTGCCAGGCTGTAGGTGAAAAGCATTAATGGACAGTCTCAAGATGGAATGTATTGATGGTCAGGTGGAATGGATTGATGGACAGTCTCAAGATGGAATGAATTGATGGCCAGGCTGTAGGTGAAAGGAATTGATGGACAGTCTCAAGATGGAATGGATTGATGGTCAGGCTGTAGGTGGAATGAATTGATGGACATTCTCAAGATGGAATGGAGTGATGGACAGTCTCAAGATGGAATGAATTGATGGCCAGGCTGTAGGTGAAAGGCATTGATGGACAGTCTCAAGATGGAATGTATTGATGGTCAGGCTGTAGGTGGAATGAATTGATGGTCAGTCTCAAGATGGAATGGATTGATGGACAGTCTCAAGATGGAATGAATTGATGGACAGTCTCAAGATGGAATGGATTGATGGACAGTCTCAAGATGGAATGAACTGATAGCCATGCTGTAGGTGAAAGGCATTGATGGACAGTCTCAAGATGGAATGAACTGATGGCCAGGCTGTAGGTGAAAGGCATTGATGGACAGTCACAAGATTGAATGAATTGATGGACAGTCTCAAGATGGAATGGAGTGATGGACAGTCTCAAGATGGAATGAACTGAATGGCTGTAGGTGAAAGACATTGATGGACAGTCTCTAGATGGAATGGTTTGATTGCCAGGCTGTACAGAAAAGCATTAATGGACAGTCTCAAGATGGAATGTATTGATGGTCAGGTGGAATGGATTGATGGACAGTCTCAAGATGGAATGAATTGATGGCCAGGCTGTAGGTGAAAGGAATTGATGGACAGTCTCAAGATGGAATGGATTGATGGTCAGGCTGTAGGTGGAATGAATTGATGGTCAGTCTCAAGATGGAATGGATTGATGGACAGTCTCAAGATGGAATGAATTGATGGACAGTCTCAAGATGGAATCGATTGATGGACAGTCTCAAGATGGAATGAACTGATAGCCATGCTGTAGGTAAAAGGCATTGATGGACAGTCTCAAGCTGGAATGAATTGGTGGCCAGGCTGTAGGTGAAAGGCACTGACGGACAGTCTCAAGATGGAATGGAGTGATGGACAGTCTCAAGATGGAATTAACTGGTGGCCAGGCTGTAGGTGAAAGGCATTGATGGACAGTCTCAAGATGGAATGATTTGATTGCCAGGCTGTAGGTGAAAGGCATTGATGGACAGTCTCAAGATGGAATGTATTGATGGTCAGGCTGTAGGTGGAATGGATTGATGGACAGTCTCAAGATGGAATGAATTGATGGCCAGGCTGTAGGTGAAAGGCATTGATGGACAGTCTCAAGATGGAATGAATTTATGGACAGTCTCAAGATGGAATGGAGTGATGGACAGTCTCAAGATGGAATGGAGTGATGGCCAAGCTGTAGGTGAAAGGCATTGATGGACAGTCTCAAGATGGAATGGATTGATGGACAGTCTCAAGATGGAATGGAGTGATCGTCAGGCTGAAGGTGGAATTCGTTGGTAGTCAGGCTGAACTTGGAATGGGCTGGCATAAAATAGAATCAAGATTGGGTTTTCTGCTTTCACTTGTGAAATATGTGACTCACCATGGAAAAAAAGGAATTGATATTTACAGAAGAGTAGTTTTAACATGTTTTCGCTTCCTCACTCTCTTTTCTCCATTTCATTCTGTCAAGTTTTCTCCATACGAGTTACTGAATGAATGTCTTTGAAAAATAGAGGGAATAAGTATAAATATATGCAGACTAATTACAAAGTCAATTAGGTTTTTCCATTTTTCTATGTTGGTAAAACGTAAATAACCCAGAGAAAAAATACTTTTAACTGATTCAATTGTCAGATTAACTATTAACATATTGTTAAATAATTACAATACTAATTCATTAATTCAGTGAGTTTAATTTTTGATTCTGCTCCATTAATGAACCTTTATCCAAGCTACGTAAATCTCACTGGGTGCCTTTAATATAACGTGTTTATCTCACAGAACATTATTATTATTATTATTATTATTATTATTATTATTATTATTATTGTGCACTGAGTTTGGTCCGCATAATTAATTCTTTTTCAAAATTTACTTTAGAAAATACTTAAATTTTCTTGTATTTTCACCATTATTTCTCATCTGATAATACTGATCGATCATTCATTAGTATAATCGGTGGGAAAAATAATTTTAGCATCTGGATGTCAAGAGAGTCTGCGTAAATGAGATAAGGTGATGTCAAATCGAGCTCAAGTAATCACAGGTTAATTTGAAGGATCAGATTGTTGACCAATGACTTCAGAAAAAGCAAGTTTCGACTTCGGAATATTAAAAGCAATGACAGTATAAATCGATTTGCTGTTATATGAAATAAGGTACAAGAAAATGGAAACATGTTTGAAATAAATATACAAATATTTTATCCTTTGCGATATAGGCAAATGTTGTGCCTACAATCGTCTTTATATCGGTGTGAAATAACGAGGCACATGAATTTATTAGGCAACGATTTTACTTTTGCGAAGGTTGATCAATTCCTGTAATTTTCTTTTCTACTTAAGTCATTATTTATCTTCAGGTAAAAAGAGTTGCATACTAAAATGCGCGACCTGTCGGATTTTCAAAGAGGACAAATACTTGGTGCTCGATTAGCAAGAGCATCTCGGACTAAAACGACTGAATTATTGAATGTGTCACGAGCTGTAGTGTTCACGGTTAAGACAACTGACACAAAACAAGGCAAAAAACATCATCGGCAAAAAGTAATAGTGGACGGAAACCAAAGTTGACCGAAAGTGACCGACGAGCTTTAAACCGAATTATGACAAAAAAATCATCAAACTACTGCAGCAAAAGTGATATCATAACTCATTACTCACCGAACCAATACAATTTCTAGACACAGTTCGTTGGGTGCTCCAGAAAGCTGGTATCCACGGAAGAGTTGCGATTCCTAAACCTCTCATCACAAAGTCGAATGCCAAGTTGCGAAAAAAAAAAAAAATGGTGTGATGATCACAAAAATTGGGCACTTATTTATGGTCTGATGAGTCTTCTTTCCCGTTATTTCCTACAAACGGTCGTGTTTATGTAAAGAGAAAACCGCGTGAAGCCTATGATCTGAATTGCATAGTCCCGTACTGCAGGTGGCTCAGTAATGATTTGGGTGGCAATTTCCTGGTATTCTTCTGGTCCTATCATCACTCTTAATCGTAGAATTACTGCAGATAAATATCTCGACATTCTCAATGACGATGTTCTTACAATGGCTACCATACTGTTGCCAGAAAGTGCTATTTTCCATGATGATGATGCACCTATACACACTGTAAAAAAGGGGTTTGATGAGCATCATAACGTAACTAAACAGCACAATCACCTGATCTCAACATAATCGAACCATTATGGGGAGTTTTAGAGGAAGAAGTGACGAACAAATTTCCTCGCCCATCGTCGCTGGAGCAACTTTCCGAGATTTTGATTGAAGAATTGGATAAAATTCCACTGGAAACAATTCAAAACTTATTTGATCCCATTCCACGTAGAATCAAAGCACTTTTAGAAGCTAATGGAGATTCAACACCTTATTAGTCAATAAATAAATGTTTAGGCCAGGTGCTCACATTATTATGTCTAACCCCTATTTGTATATATCGTATATAATACAGAAAGGTGCTCAGCCCTGTAGAAGAGCTGCTCGAGGCCACGCCTTCTCATTGCACAAGAGAGAAGGATCAGATAAGATTATACTTTGAACAGATAGACAGATACTGACACACGGACAGAATGATAAAAATTTCTTTATCCAGTCAAGTTCTGAAAAGCTAACAAAAGTTCAAACGAAATTATTTATTTTGTAAGGATATATATATATATATATATATATATATATATATATATATATAGAGAGAGAGAGAGAGAGAGAGAGAGAGAGATCTACTATATATATATATATATATATATATATATATATATATATATATATATATATATAGGAATGAAAAGACAAAACAAGAGAAAAACTATACTTAGTTTTAAGCTGACGCGTTTCGTCGGATAAAAACTAAATATATATATATATATATATATATATATATATATATATATGGTGCGATGAGTGAATAGTCGCCATTTTATATTTTTAACTTCACCCATGCGCGTTGTTGTTGATTTTGTCAGCTGCACCGTACAGTAGAGTCAGTTGAGCACCGGCCGTAAGGAAAAGACCGCCATGATGCAATTCGCTCCGCCAGAAATTTGGAAATGACATGCTGTACTGTTTGGTGTTGGCAATACAAACATTTTATTGTGTTTGGGTGTCAATTCGAGGACTGCGGAGGATTCGGAAAGTGTTGGATGATATATCATGGTGTTTGGAGTGCCCACTAGTAATGGCGATCTTATGCCTCCATTGCTCTGCCCATAGGGCCTCAGACTCAACATGGAGGAGTTCATCAAGCCTCCTTAATGAGGAAGTACTGCCCTAGGTCGAGAGTGTTGCTGCTGGAAGAGATGTCCGTGTTATTTTTATTTCTGCGTAATTTATACAATTTATACATCGCACCATATATATATATATATATATATATATATATATATATATATATATATATACGTGTATATGTGGTTATATATCAGTATGTTCGTGATAGATATATGAACAGAAGTAGAACCACAAAAGGAGGGGGGAGAGAGAAATAAGGAGTAAACAAACTTCAAATGAAATAAAGAAATATTCAAGCTATTGAGATAGATAGATAGATAGATAGATATATAGATAGAGCGATAGAGCATGACTGCAAATGAAAAATGAACTTTCAACGTAGGTTCGAGTTGTGAACAATTTTCGTGGGAGCCTCCAGTGGAAAGACAAAGGAAATATGGAAAGATTCAATTAAAGTTGTTAATTTTGGACTTTTAATTTGTCGAGGGAAAAAGAGAGAAATAATGTCAAAGAAGCGAAGAAGGAAGATCAAAAATCTTGGGGCGAAAAATTGTGAAAAATTAGTTGATGGAAATAAAAGGCCTTCGCAACACAATTTCCTATATTTAATTAGATAAAATCTAAATTATACTAATGGATTCACTTGAAACTTTTAGAATTCTTGACGGCAGACCTTACAGAGTTTAATTACATTGCCTTCGGTCTTTCTTGATAATGTAAGAAAGATTCTGGATTTCGATTTTGAAAACAGCCTTTTTGTACTCTCCGTTGCTTTTGTGTTACTTCGGAAGATATCTGTCAAACCCGAAGATATTTACTAACTGTATTGTACCCTGACATAGGGAATCAATAATAGAGTCGTCAGTAAAGTTTTAATTCACTACTTCGGCAAGTATCCTGAGAGAAGACCAGGATGGATGAGATAGAGCAGCCAGTTTGATGGATATCGTTTTAAAAAAAGAGTGTGTATGTGCATCTGTGTTTGCATTGTATTGTGTGCTTATGCAACAGCCTACTCAGACGTTTCTAGTGTATAGAGTTGCAAGAAGGCAGTGGGTTCATCGTTATTTTTATTTAATTTTATTTTTAATTTACTTTATAATACAAACATATTGAACAAATATAAAATGCATAGCAGCATAAAAATGTTTTGATATTATATCTGTATGAAGCACATTTTAAATTTCTGTCATTTTTCGATGGTATGCTAAAGCAGTTGTACAATTATACCACTGAGAATTTGTAGTCTTTTTCTGTGACATTTGTATCCGTATTGTAATTTTCTTCTTGCATTCAGAATAATTTTATCCAGGCTTTCCGAGTAATTATGTTTAAGTTAATCACTTAATTAATTGTTATATTTGATGGAAATCGAAGGGTAGGCTACGCTCACAGAATGGAACTCTTGTTAGAAAAATTGTCAAGTAGCACAAAGTCAAATTAATTCCAGTTAATTTTGAGGAATGGCATCATTATTTGCGGAAATTTTCTGGCCATGTTCTTAACAGGAAATTTTCTTTCTATGTTGCGTTTTGGTCACGTTGCCCTAAGAAAATGCTGTTGAAGTAAAACATTTTCAGAATGAGTCCAAACATCCTGGGAAATAAAACTTGTGAACTAAAATAAATGTCATGAGACCTAAAATAATAATGTTCATACAACTTTCATACAATTTTATACAATAAAATACAGAAGAAATCCTGAAACCTTAAAAGACATTTATGCTTAGGCTGAATGTTGTTTCTTTGTTTATTCGTCCTGTGTACAAAAATAAGCAAACAAACATTTACAAAGTTCAGTTCCAGTTCTTTAACATTCCTATTTCCGTGCGATGATATTTTACTTAGAAAAGCAAATTAACCCTGAAAACGAACATTAGGGATCACCTTCTTTATTTTTGTGGACTTTCACTAAAACCATCAAATTTTGTTTGTGGTTCGTCCACTTTGGACTTTTTTTTTATACCAACTCTATTTATTTATTTACACATAAATAGAGTTGGTATAAAAAATCAAATAAAAGTCGATTGCAAAATAATCTTTTCTTTTTCAACTCCCAGGGTTTTTCTAAGCCTGCTTCACTATACTCATATTTAAACATTTTTATGATTTAGAAAAATAGTTTTATGGTTTATCTGCATTTCAAAAAAAATGTCTCTCTTTACACTTATACGATATTTTATCTCCCATCCTAGAAGTTTCAAAAATCTTTGCAGAATAAAATATTCAGGTATTCTTAAAAGTTTTCTGTTTGGAATTGGTAACATTTACATTATTAATATGCGAAGGTTTCAAAATGATTATGATGTCGTAAGTGTCACGTTGGAAATAATGAGTAACATCGGAGCTGGATTTGAACCAATATTATTTAACTTAGAAAGCAAACCATTAAAAACATTCAATCCGCCGATCGATCATTGGTTGGATAAATGTGTTCTGTTAATTATGACAAAAATCCAGATGACATCCTACATACAAAAACCATAGTAAAGCTGCTAGACCTAAATAGAGTTCCTTAAAATGATATTAAGCAGAGCTAAGTTTCCGTTGTATATACCTATTTGAACATTCTAGATTAGCTAAAGTTGTAATGAGAAGTGACAGATAGTCGAAAGAATGGTTTCCGATATAGATATTTTCAAGAGAAAAGTAAAATTTAAAAAAAAATCCTCCTTGCGAAAAACATATAAAATAGAAGATTGTCAACCGTATATAAAGGCAAATATATATGTAGTGACATTTCCAGGTACGGATGTGTCAAACTGGAGACGATCAACTTTCATTGTCCATCTCTGAGCAAAAAAAAGGTTGTCACAGTGACTCCTATCTCTGCAAATATCAGTTGCTTATATATAGCATGATTCTTGAAAATATTCAAAATCCAGAAATCACAGTGTAGCATGGACTGACTGCAAAAAAGTCTTTAGCAGTATAACACGATAGTAGATCACCAAATCTCACCCACACTTGTGGATTTCCTACAACATAAGTCTGGAAGACAAACCTATTATTCTCGCATTCTAATGGTTGGCTCCTAAGTAAAGACATAGAAATCGAATATGGAATTATGCAAAGAGTCTCTTCAACTCATCATCACTTTCTGCCGGGCACGAATTCTTTATCAAAATTGTTAAACAATACAGGATATGCACAAGAGATCAACGATTAAGGATATATAAACTATTTTATATGGATGACTTGAAATGCAATAAATGATGAGGAACTAGAAGGGCTTTTATAGACTGAAAAGTTTCAGTGATGATATATGCATGGAATTTGGGTTAGATAAATTTACAAAGGACACCTTCAAGTGAGGTAAGCTTATCAGTAGAAACAATATAACTACTGATATAGATACTGTGATTAAGGAATTCGACCAGGAAGGTATTCACAAGTATGTTGGCTGTGAATGGAGGCAATGGATTATAAGCATTCAAAGATGAAAGAAAAAAATTAGAAAGGAGTGAATTTGGTGAATGCGAGTAGTAATGAAAACTGAATTGAATTTGAAAAATATAATAAAGGCCATTAATACTTTTCTATCTTAGTTGTAACTTATCGCTTCAACATAATAAACTGGAACTTAAATGAAGTCAAGAACATTGATGCAAAAATTCGCAAACAACTTACACACCCTAAGAAAGATGTTGACTGTGTGTATCTGTCAAACAATAATGCGGATAGGAGCATGATTCAACTGGAATTGTTTTACAAAATTTCAAAAATATGATGTTATACGTATCTTGCAGCTATACAAGGTATTATGAAACGTAATGGAACATAACAAAAATGATAGGAGTTAAGTAAAAAAATTACCCGCACTTTACCTATAAAATGTCTTTAGGTTTGTCACACACACTTCTACTCATGCGTGCTTTATAGTTGGTATTATTGAGGTCACGTGGTCAAAGTTTGTGCTTGACCGCGACAATATTTTTTTTTACTGTAGTTACAGTGTAAACATGGCCGTTCTGTAAGCAGTGTGCACCGGGGAAGAACAAAGAGCTGTGATCCAAATTTTGAAAGAACATGCTAGCATATCAATAATAACTCACCGGTTCGCCTTTATGATTTATCGAACTTGCTGAATCTTCTCGTCACTGGTAGAGATTGATGTGCATCCTGCTTCTTCTTCGTGCATTATGCCTGTCCGGCCACTTTTAAACGTCTCGATTCACTCATACACACTTCTACGCGACAGTGTACTGTTACTGTATAGTGTTAAAATCATACGATGAATTTCAGTCACTGACACTTTCCAACCAGAGGAATCGGATTACTGCTCTTTGTTCTTCTTTGGTGCATATTGCCAGCGGAGCGGCCATGTGTACACTGTACAGAAACAAGAAAACTGGTGCGATCAACCACAAAATTCGAACACATGTCCATAACAGTACTAATTATGAGCACGCATGAGCAGAAGCTAGTGTGAAAACCTAAAGATATCTTATGACGAAAGTGTGAATCATTTTTGACTTACCCTTGTATGTTTTATTCTGTATCAAAAGAAACTCATAGATATACAAGGGAATTCCGTTTAAATCCTAAAAAATAACTTTTAAGCAGATACAACGGTCACAAAATCAGCAAGAAAACTAAAACAAGAAGTGGTTAAAAGAATATACAAGAAAGCTGGAGCTCAAAATGTCTACATAGCCGGTTCCAGTAAAAATTCATAAGCCACAAATGATTAAGCATTTCAGGACTTAAGTATGATATTGAAGGAGTTATTCTTACTGCACGGGATCAAAGCCTGCTTACACGCAAATACCAAGTTAATATATTGCATAATAATACGGAATCCAAAATGTAGGTTATGTGACCAGTACATTGAAACTATTGATGCCCTTATCTCAATATGTTCACTATTCACACCGAATGAGTTGTAAAAACTAGAAGTGGTTCAATACCTGCATTGAAAGATGGGATCATCACTACGGGATAAAACAGTTGCAAATTTGCAGCAACATTATCCTGAATCTTTAGTTGAGGGAACAAATGTTACCATCCTGTTTTTTCTATCAACGCAGATAGAACAATACAAGAAGATCGACTAGATATTATTATTATTATTAAAGATAGAAAATAAAAATAAGTTTGCTCACTGATTAACTCTTTAAAAAAAACGTTGTTGTGGTTGGATCTTTGAGTATGATAAAAAAAGAACCCAAGAACAAATCAACAAAATCCCTGGTACACAAACTCCCCAGGAAATCCAAAAAATAAGTCTGAAAAATATAGCCCATACCCTGCAAAGAGCTTTCTCCATAGCTGTTTTTGTTTAGTTAAATGGAAACAGCCAAATATCACATCCTCCCCTTGCTCTATATCATTGATTATGACCCGTCATG